ATATATACACATATACACATATATATATACATATATACATATATATATATATACATATATATATATGATCCCCAGTCACTGCACATCACGTGGCGTCTCTGGGCAGCACGTCTAATCCCCAAAATGTCCCCCGGGCGCTTTCAATAGCTGCCCACTGCACCACCTGGTGGTGGATGGGTTAAATGCAGAGACTAATTTCGCCATTGTATGGAAACATACAGTGCTGACATTGTGATGACATTATTATTATTATTATTATTATATATACATATTTAATACGCTGACATAAAAAAAACAAAAAACAAAAACATTCTCACAGACCTGAGCAACTATTTCAATTAGTGCAGTATGTAAACGAATCGTACAGGAAATTTGTATCCACCAAAAAAACGATTTTATAGTTGTTTGGGTCCTTTAGTGGCTCACTTATTTGTTTCCATGGCAACCCTATGGCAACAATAATCTTGAAATATCAAGCTGCGGGCACTGTGATCAGAATGTGATACTCTTGGTAGAATATGCTTCAGAAAAATCCAGAAAAAAAAACATTAAGCACTGTTACTTAACAACAACAACAACAACAACAACAACAACAACAACAATATCAAGGGCATTTATTAAAAAGGAAAAATAGAGTTGGATTTGTTTTTGTTAGTTTCTTTAACTCATACCACATCACAATATATCATACTACACCAAAATATACCATTCCACACCATTCCACCCATACCACACCATAATATACTACACCACAATATACCATACCACTCTACCCATACCACACCATAATGTACTATACCACACCACTCTACCCATACCACAATATACCACACAACACAATACCATAGAGTATGCATATGATACGATACCATACCTTCTATAGATATGTGAAAGTTTTTTTACAGAGCCTAGATACAACTTTTGTGACTTGGCATTATAAAAATAAACTGAATTTACCATACCACAAGCTTGCTAAAGATGAAAGTTCTGCGATGGAGTTAAATTCAAAGCAGTCTGCTCCTCAGATAAATAATGTTACCTTATATATATATATATATATATAATTTATATATACATCAATGTTTCTGTTCAGTGCCCTGAGATGACTTCTGTTGTGATTTGGTGCTGTATAAATAAACTGAATTGAACTATACCACACCGCATCATAGCATATCATCTCTATTATAAAGAACTTTAAACAACAACAACAACAACAACAACAACAACAACACCAAATAATGTACAGTTACAAAAAAAAAAAAGCTGTCACAAGATATAATGAAAATCTAAAAGCAAAGCAAAACAGCATTATAAATAAAAAATAAAAAAAGGCACATAAAATCAATCCAAATGAAATAAAGTGCACACCTCAGACGGAGTTTAAAGCCAAGGAGATACAAACAGTCATGAGACATGTCTGATGTCTACAAGCAGGCCGTTATGCAGGAGCAGCAAATGCACATTTCCCTTAGAAGATTAATACTCTTTTGCAGAAACAAAAACTAACAAATCGATATAAAACAAATCAAATAATATCAGAGTCCATCATGTTGGCTGAGTCGCATTTTGTGATGATGGATTTTAATCTCAGTAAGCACTGTCACTCTGAACTGAGCTACTTTTAAATAAATAATAAAAAAAAGCTTTGATTTTTACCTGCAAAAACTTCTAAAAAGGTTGAGGTTCTTTTAAGGAAGCAGGAAATAGTTTCTTGAAATATAATGGTTTGATTGGCTTAATATTACTGTAAACTATTTTTAATAGGAAGATGTTGGGAGAGCTTAAAAGAGAGGATCTACAGTTATTATTCACGTTGCAACAAAATAAACTGCCATTATTGATTATTCAGCAAATTGATTAATCATCAAGACTGATTATTTAGCCAAACAATCAGCTGATATTGGTCAGTTTAAAAAAATAAAATCAAATCGTTAGTCAGCCATGCCTCTACCTGACAGTTTATGAAGAAAATTAAGATGCAGTAGCAGCTGCTACATCCAGTTTACTGTGACCCACAATTTAGTTGTTTAAACTAAAATGTTATTCGATTATATTTTTAAGCAGAGTTTCTTTTAAGGGTTGTTAAAATGTTTGTATTCAAGTATCAACATTTCTGATGTAATTAATGAAAAACACTAAATGACATAATTTAAACAAACAAAAAACGATTGACAAAAAAATAAATAAATAAATAATTCCACATCATCTTCTATAAAAAAAAAAAAATAAAAAAAATCAAAGTGTCATTTGTCATAAAATTTTATTTGGTTTATTGTTTTTTGTTTGTCATTGCGATGAAAACAAAATAGAGATATAAAACCCAAAACTGACGTCAGTGAAGACAACCAGCGGTTATATCAACAACCTCTTGATCCTGATTGGCTAACCTTTAGAAATAACTCAGACAAGTCGACCAGCTGAAGATGCTGCAGCTAAAAAAAAAAGGAGATAATCTGTTATCCATTGATGCCGTGCACGTTAAGATTATACATATCAAATTTGAAAAAAGGAGACAAATTTAGAATTTATTTTCTTGGCAGCTTTTTGTTTCGTATTTTTCCTACTTCTTTTTCGTCAACAACCCTTTTAGCCGTTTCTGATCTCAAGATGCACAAATGTTTGTGCCTTTCTAAATGCCCTCTAAACACAGACATCTGCACTCTGTGGGGGCGTTCACTGGTGGCTTCCTGGAAAACTGTTCATGTGAGCTTCTTTGCGCATTTGAGTAATTTTTCCTGGGTTTACAAGAGCGCCCTGTGAGAGTCACGTATGTGAATATGAGCACATGTGTCTCAGGAAGCGTGCAGGAGCACATGAGTGTGTGAGCGTCTCACCTGAAGGCATGCTTCTCCCCTTCGTCTCCATCTCCTCTGCCCCCTGCTGCTGCTGGTCTTCTTCCTCGTCAGTGAAGAGCGATCTGTAGCCCCGGTCCGAGCCGCCTCCATCCACCGTTTATCCTTCTTATTCTCGCCTCTTCTCCTTCCCTTGCTCCTCTCCCACTGAGCTCTTCACACTTCTTCCTCCCTTTTCCGTTTCTCTTTTTTTTTTTTAATGTTGGGACACTCCTTCATTTGTTCTCAGCAAGTGGTGGTTACTTCACTCAGTGTCCTCTCCTCTCATTGAATTGTCATGGCAGTCATCTGTGTTAGCTGCTGAAGAAAGAGGTGGTGGGGAGGTGGGAGGGTGATGAAGAGGACAGATGAGGGAGACTGTCAGAAATGACCAAAACAGTGGAACAGAAACAAACAGAAAATTAAAAGTACAAAGTGAGATGAAAAGATGAAATGCGTAGATACGTGATTATCCAACAAAACCTGAGTCCTGAAACCAGAGGATGCTCCTGTACAAAAGCATCCCTGTATTTAAAAAAAAATAAATCAGGGAGAAATGATACATACAAATCCAAAACCTGATGCCGGCGGCAAAAAACGACTCCTCTGTCAAAGAAGAAAAGCTGGTTTGCCTCCACGGAGAGAGAGAGAGAGAGAGAACGCAAAAAGAAAAGAACAGGCGATGCGAGAGAGCGTGCTCCGGTCCATTGCCATGGCAACAGTGAATTCCAAAGTCTTTGCTGAAACTGGCAAGTGTGCATGTATGCATGTGTGTGTTTGTGTTGGGGGAGTAAAATGATGGGATTATGCAGCTGAGAGGATTTTGCCGAGATAAAAAAGAAGTGTGTGAATGCCATTAGGGAGGAGATTGGAGATTTTACACCATAAAAACACACGCGTTTCTCACGGACATGAACGACAGCACATGGGAGATGAGGAATAAACATTCACAGGAGAGATGACAGACTTGTGAGTCACTCATGCTGCGGTCACAGCGTTGCATCCGTCCAACTTTCTTTCTGTTGGTGCGATGGCTCAATCACAGGCACTTAGCACAGATCCATGCTCTGAAATGCACAAAGTAGGTTTCTCAAAGCTGCAAGATCAAGCAGGGATTCGACATCGTTCAAGGGCGTTTCAGCTGAACAGCTGACTTACAGCCTACACTCCAACATGAGGGAGACAAATCCCCATCAGCACTGACATCAGGTCAGGCTTTGCTATGACTGTTTTTTTTTATTTTTCTTACAAGCTGTTGCTGAAACCACAGGGCAAGAAAAATCCACATGAGAAGCATCTGCAGCTCAGCTCGCTTCAAATAAACAGCACATCTCCGAACACACCTCTGCTCTGAAACGATCAAGTCAAGGAATACCACCGGTGCTGTGCTGGCGTAGATGCTCCAGGCTGGACTTTTGTATTTTTTTTTATCTTAAACTCTCTAAAAAGTCTCAAGTTGATCTGAAAGGCTGCTGCCAGAGAGGTTGAAGGAAATATATTTCTCCAATTTTAGCTTCTCTCCATTGCCTCCTTGCAAAATTCCAATTTAAATTTCTAACACATTAAAAAAAACCTCAAAAACCAAGGTCCATCTTACATATAAAAATATCTTCTGTTCCATTTTCCTAACAGAGCTATTTGCTGTTAGACTGCAGGTTTACTTGTGGTTCCAAGAGTTAATGGACAACGGGAGACACAGCGTTCAGTTATCAGCCTCCTCTCTTACAGTTTATACCCATAAGGTTGACGCTATTTGAAATACTTCAAAAAGTCTTCAGCCAATTCAAAATGCTGCTGCCAGAGTCTTAACTGGAGTTAGTGGGAGAGATCATATCTCTCCAGTTTTAGCTTCTCTCCATTGGCTCCCTGTCAAGTCCAGAATTGAATTCAAAATCTTACTTCTAACCTACAAAGCCCTCAAGAACCTAGCTCCATCTTATATTTGAGATCTTTTTGTTCCATATTTTCCTAACAGAACACTTTGCTCTCAGACTGCAGGCTTACTTGTGGTCCCTAGAGTTTCCAAAAGCAGAATGGGAAGAAGATCTTCCAGTTCTCAGGCTCCTCTCTTGTGGAACCAACTTCCAGTTTCTGACCTTAGATAAATCCTATAGTTATGGTTGGCTTGTTATGCTGCTATAGACTTACACTACTAGAGGACAAATTGACCTCATTTCCTTAAATTGTTTGCTAAAATTAAATAGTTTTCATTTGATACTATTTTTATCTTAACATGTGATTCTTGAGCTGCCATTGTGTATCTGATCCTCTCAAACCCAGCCGGTTGAAGCAAATGGCCGCTTGTCCTGAGTCTGGTTCTGCTAAAGGATTCTTCCTCATGAGGGAGTTTTTTCTTTCCACTGTCGCCTTCATGCTTGCTCAAGATGAGAGTTCTGTGATGGAGTTAAACTCAAAGCTGCTCCTCAGATAAATAATGTTAAATTATTAATTTTATATATGAATGTTTCTGTTCAGTGCCCTCAGACGACTTCTGCTGTGACTTGGCGCTTTATAAATAAACGGAATTGAATTTGCTTTTAAAACCCATTCTTAAGACTTTTTCTTTTTGATAAATCCTATAGTTAGGGTTGTCTTGGGTTTCCTTGGTTATGCTGCCAAAGTTTGTTGGAGAACATCCTGAGCACAAATTTTCACTTTGCTGCCTTTCCTCCCTCTACTCTTCGTTTGTTTTGCAGTCCCCGCGCTCTTTAACCATATTCTTCTTCCCCTAAAAGCAACAACAACCGGACTAGTCGTTCTGCGTTAATCCAGTATCTCCTTTCAAACCCCAGCCAGCTGTGGCAGATGATCATCCATCCTAAAGGACGTCAGGTTTAAAAGGAAGTCATTACTTTCCACTGTCACCAACACGCTGCTTACGGTGGTGGGTTGCACAGATTTAAAATGGGATGCAGTCTGCTGGCTTCTTTAGGTAAACACACCAACTAATTGGTCTTCTATTATAATACAGATTCAAGTGACTGTGATTTAATCTGAAGCTGATTTGGGTTTATCATTTGGATTAGTTTATTTATTCCGTTTGTTTTGTGCTCTGAAATGTTGCATTGTTGTGAAATGGTGCTTCAGAAATTGAATTAGATTAAATTTAACTCAATATTTTCAGGATGAGTTCGGATATTGTCAAAATATTTCCCAAACTTTAATCATGCGAGCTGAAAAATCTCCTAAAAAAAAAAAAAGTTTAATATCTTAACATTTGTCATGTGACAATTTTGTGCTTAAACTGTACATATTAAGTGACGAATGACATAAACCTGTAAAACCATGACACGATGCAACTCTTAGCAATCCTCGAAGGAACACAGTTTCCATAATCTTTTATGCCAAATTATCAGAGAGAAATAAATATGTGGATCATGGCGACAGCTGTTGTGTTTATTGTAATTGGCAGGTGAACTTACACGTTATATCAAAAAGCTAAAAATACATAAACACAATTCATTCAACCGTTATTAATACAGGTTACTTCCCACTGAGCCTCGATGACTCATTTACAAGAGAGACCTGTTGACAGTGAACTCAACTGTAATGCCACTTTATTGGTGATATGTTGCTCATCTGTGCTGCTGATTATCCATGCTGCTGATCTCATGCTGCTGTATTCATTTGTACCCATCTGCTCACCACAGACTCATGTTCAGGCTGCTGTTACGCCGTCCCTTAACAAAAAGTAGTACATTTGAAGTTCATATTTGCAAGTAAGTATAATTATATCAAGTATACTACACACCATACTTGTAGTGTACTAGAAAGTATACTGATCTAAAACTTGTTTGGACTAAATTGGGACATATTTAAGTATATCAAATAAAGTTCAAGTACACTTATATAAAATCCTTGTTTAATGTTTCTTTTTACACTATATTGTGCTATTGCTGGGTGTAACTGGGACCCTGCGTACATAATATCGTCCTATCTCATGTACCACATGTGGTGAGAACGACAATAAACCCTACTTGAACATAACCCACATAATCCAAACAGAATATACATGTTTTTCTTGTAAAAGTGCAATTTAAGTTATATTAATTCATGTAATTCAAAACAGTCAATCAGAAAACTGTTTTTGTTTCTTACACGTCGAGTCCTCCAGACGGATTCTTCGTTACTGAGCGTGCAGCAGGACATGCTCTTGTTTATTTCCTAAAACAATTCAAATATACATAAAATGCTGTTTTTTTTTTTTTTATTTGCATCTGTTGTGTGTTTTTGCAAAGTACACTTTCATTTTTTATCTCTAAAACGACGTGTTGTGTTTGCCCATCTAGTGGTCACCAGAGGAACTTCATAAAAAAGTCTTTCATCTGCACTTTGCATCCAGATCACAGGACTTGGAGCCTCGTGCACAGAAATCACCGAGAGCTCTGCAATCAGTGACAACAGACAGGCACAAACAGGAAGTCACAACATTATGTTAATAATTCAGAACTGGTGTGGTGAACCCATTTAGCGCAGACAGAGTGGGTGACGGCGTCTCCTGAAGCACATCATGAAACAAACGCAGGCTCTAAGGGCTCGCTGGTGGTGACTCAGACTACGTGCATTTGATGACTGCAGCAATAAAAACAGATCTGGGAAAGGCTAAATCACCAGCACATAAAATAAATAAATAAATGAAGTGAACAAAATGTATTTTGCAGAATCACACTGCACTTTGTTGATACCAAACAATCTTTCAGCAAGAAAAGTACATCTTTTATGGTTGTTGCTGTATAAAACTGAAATGTCTATTTTCCATTTTTTTCCCCACTTTTAAACTTTTTGGATTCTCTTCACTGTTAAAAATCTAAAAAAAAACAGAATTTCAGTTAAAAAATAATTCCAATAAAATTCCCCATCTCTGTACTGGTTTGCCTGGTGTTGATTTAATTTGAAGAGTTTTCAGCAAAACAAACTTCACTTCCTGATTCGTCTCCTCTTGTTTATGGAAGATGCTGATTGGAGACAAGAGGTTTGTCAAAGCTCAAGTCCTCTTCACAATCAAGTGACAGA